GTTCATGTGGAAACAAATTATCATGAATTATAAATTACGTTTGTAAGACATGGAGTCAAACATGTAAATTAAAAGACAATATTATCTGATTCTACTTCTTAATATTAATTTTTAAGAAATGTTTTATTATCATTTATATTTTATAGGTATGAGTGTATTGCCCACATTTATATAAGTGTACGCATGTCTGCAGTGCCCACTGAGGTCAGAAGAGGGATTTGGATCCCCTGGAACTCAAATTACAGATAGCTATTAGCTTCCATGTGGGTGCTGGAAATCAAACCCAGGTCCATTGCAAGAGGGGCCCATGCTCTTAACCTCTGAGTCATCTTTCCTTCTCCTTAATATTAACTTCTGGGCTTTTTTTTTTTTTAACTTTTGCAAAAATTTATTGAGAATTTCATACATGCATATAAATTTTTTATCAAATCCATGCCCACTCCCTCCCCTGCAACATTGCCCCATCTAAGAGGTAACCCTAAAATCTGATAAGGATTAGATACAAGCTCCCAAATAATTTTGATATTTTTAGCCTTTGGAACAGAGTATGTTGTTAACAGGCCCAAGGATATGTTGACTTTTAGCTCAAAAACTGGCTACATTTCTTTGGAGTCTTTTTAGTTTAACTGTCTAGCCAATTCCTACCTCCTATTCATATTATGCCATCCTCTGAAGGGGTTACCCAAATTGCCAATAGGGAATAGGGATGCAGACTACTCTGGCTTCTTCCATACTGAACAGGGAAGCAGGGGGAGGCAATTGGAGTACTCCTTAAGTTGTCTATTTAAAAGACTCCCAAATTGAATAACTCTTGTCTCTAAGGGGAAAAGGGAGTCCTTGAATCATGAATAAGAGATGTAAAGGAGAAGTAAAGGCAAGGGTAATTAGCCTTACAAGTTCTAGTCAGGAAACTAAAAAGAACGGCAGAACAGGGCAATTTGCAAATGTTCATATGAGAGTCCATTGGAGTTTCTTGACAAGGGCTTTCAAAAGTATCCCTCTATTGCGTTCTTCCCCATTTTTCTTTTGTCTTCCAAGGCTGGACTAGTTTAGTGGGAAGAGTAGATGGATACTCAGGTGAGGGTCCAGTGACCATGCTTGGCACTCCTTTAATGAATGAGAACAACCATCAACAAGCCCAATTGTGACTATGTTTAGGGATCAGGTTCAGCCGAAGTCATGATGATGGTAGTGATTTCATGCAGAAGGTCCTGCTGTATAGCATCCTCTTACTAAAGGACCTGGAATTTAAAAGAATCTGGTGCTAGGAGCTACATATGAGGGAGAACATTTGTCATTTGTTTTTCTGAGTCTGTGTTACTTCACTTCGAATAATAGTATAACAGGTTCTAAATCCATCCATTTACCTGAAAATTTCATTATTTCATCTCTCTTCACTGCTGAATAGAACTCCATTGTGTAAATATACCACCTTTTTGTTAACCACTCGTCAGCTGAGGGACACGTAGGTTGCTCCTAACTCTTAGCTATTGTGAAAAGAGCAGCAACAAAAATGGTTGTGCAAGTGTCTCTACAATAGGACAAGTCCATTGGGTATATGCCAAGGAGTGGTATAACTGGGTCATAACTGGGTCATATGGTACATTCTTTTTTTTTTTTTGTCTTTTTGAGACAGGGTCTCCCTGTAGCCCCAGCTGTCCTTGAACTCACTATGTAGAACAGGCTCACCTCAAACTCACAAAGGCCCACCTGTCTCTGCCTTCTAAGTGCTGGGATTAAAGGCATTCTCCACCATGCCCAGCTGGTAGGTTCTTTTTTAAGAGTTCTCCACACTGCTTTCCATAGAGGCTGCATGAGTTTGCAATCCCACCAGCAGTGAATGAGCATTCCCGTTTCTCCACTTAGAGCTATAAACTTTGCTCTGAGGACTGATTTTAATGCGGCCCAGAGGTTGTATTGTGTTGTATTTTCCTTTTCTTTGAATTCCAGAAATTCTTTTATTTCATTCTTAATTTCTCCTTTGACATACTCATTGTTCAGGAGTGTGTTGCTCAATCGCCACAAGTTCATGTAATGACTGTGGCTTCATCCACTGTTGATTTTGAGCTTTATTGCTTTGTGGGCCAATAGAATGCATGTAATTATTTCAATATTTTTGTATTTGTTGAGGTTTGTTTTGTGACCCAGTATGTGGTCAATTTTTGAAAAAGTTCCATGAGGTGCTGAGTAAAAAGTGTATTCTCTGTGTTTGGGTGAACTAACTGAAAGATGTCTTTTAGGTCCATTTCATGTATGATATCATTTAATTCAGACATCTCTCTGTTTTTTCTTTGTCCACTTGACCTGTCTAATGGAGACAGTGGGATGTTGAAGACATCTACTCTTACTGACTTGGGGTTAATCTGTGTTGTAAAGTCCTGTAGTGTTGTTTGTATGAATTTGGGTGCACCAGAATTTGGTGCATATATGTTAAGGATTGTAATATCTTCTTGAATAACTGTTCCTTTGGTCAGAATGAAGTGACCCTCCTTATCTCTTCTGATTAGTTTTACTTTGAAGTCTATTTTGTCAGATATGCAAACCCTACTTGTTTCTAGTGCCATTTGCATGGAATACTGTTTTCCATCCTTTTGCCTTAAGGTAGTGCCTGTCCTTGAAGGTGAGATGGGTTTCTTGCAGGCAGGAAAGAGATGTATTTTGTTTCTTAATCCATTCACTTAGATAGTGTCTTTTAACTGGGGAGTTCAGTCCATTGATGTTTAAGATTATAATTGAAAGGTTGTATTCACTGCTGTATTCATTTTGATTGCTCTTTATGTTCTCTGTGTAATTCTGTGTTTCTTAGATTACATCTTTGTTTATTATTTTTGGTTTCCCCTAGGGTATAGTTGTTTCTCTCTCTGTTCTCTGTATTGCTTCAAGTATTCTTTGAAGTGCTATTTTGTGGACACATTCTGGCTATTCATGTCTTGGAAGAGTTTCCCCCTTCCCCAACTATAATAGACATTTTTACTGCGAATAGTATTCTGGGCTGACATCTATTGTCATGTAGAACTGGAAATGCCTTGGTCCAGGTTGTTCTGGCTTTCATAGTTTGCATTGATAAGTCAGCTATAATTCTGATGGGCTTTCCTTTGTATGTGTCTTGTTTTTCTTTTGCTGCTTACAGTATTCTCTCTTAGTTCTGTACATTTAGTGTTTTTACTATGATTTATTCAGGGGAGTTTCTTTTCTGATTCTATCTATTTGGTGTTCTATGTGCTTCCTGTATTTGTATGGGGATGTCTTTCCCTAATTTTGTGAAATTCTCTTCTGCAATCCTGTTTAAGATCTGGTCAACAACATTAACCTGAAATTCGTTTCCTTCCTCTATTCCTATGTTCTGTAGATTTGGTCTTTTCATGGTATCCCACATCTCTTGTATATTCCATTCCCGTGTTTTTTTAAATTTTCCATACTCTTTGCTTGAGTGGTCCAATTCTTCAACTTTATCCTCCAGTGTTGATATTCTGTTTTCCAGTTCTTTCATTCTAGAGGCTTCTAGAGGTGAGGCTTTCCCCTTTTGTTTCGAGTTGGCTTATTGCATTTTACAATTCCTTTTTCATTTCTGCCTGAGTTTTCTTCAATGTTTCTATCTCTTTTGTAAATTCATTCAGAAGTTTATCCCTATCTTCGTTTAGCTCTTTGATTTGTTTGTGTGTTCTTTAAATTCGTTGAATTCTTTGATCATTTTTATGATTATTCTTTTAAAGTCAGTGTCCTGGGTTATTTCTAGGGGGTTCTCCTTGTAGAACTCTTCTACAGGATTGGTGGTGTTTGGTGGAGACATAGTGTTTTGGCTTTCTATTTTATTATTCTTTCATTGTGTTTTTGACATGTGAATTTCTTTTGTTGTTTATGATTCTGATATGAGAATTAAGTTGAAGTATGCTTCTCTTTGTATTATCCAGGTACCTAGATCCTTCCTTTACTGGCTGTGTAAAGGTAGTTGGTACAGGGTTCAGGTTCTCTCAGGTTCATTTTGGAGGGAACTGATAAGCTGTTCAGGGGTACCCACAGAAGCCCAATTCAGGATCCAGTCAGGTACACTCAGGCTTCCTTCACCACGTGGAGACAGGATCCAGGCTCTCTCAGGCAGTCCCATGCATTGTCAACCCTATTCTAGAGGGAGGCCAGAGGAGGGCCAAAATTCGGCACTCTCTGGAGGTCTGCTGAAATCCCAGTCACTACACCAATGGAGGTCCAAAGCCACCCTCTCAGGCTGTCTGCTAGGATCTCAGCCTTAGCCTACCAAAGCCATATCTGCCCTGGGGCCTTGGGAGGGGCCACACAAAATCCCAGATAGGGGGATGGTATGGTGCAATTAGGGGAAGCTCACCACGAGGTGGAGGCAGGATCTGAGGGTTATGAGGCAGTCCCCTGGGTTCTCAGTCCCTCTGGTAGTTGGAGGCCAGAGGGAGGCCAAAACCCTGCACTCTCTGGCAGTCTGCTGAACTCTAGGCTGCTACCCCAATGGAGGTCCAAACCCATCCTCTCCAACATTAATTTTTAAAAAGAAAGAACTATATGTATTTAGGAGGTGCAGTGTGATATTTTGTTCTCTACATACATTTTTGAAATTGACTATTAAATTAACATAATTACCACTTCATGAATTTTCCTATTAAAATACATATACTCGAAATAATGTCACAATGTATTTTTGAGACTGAAAAGTGGCTTGTAAATGCAATTTTTATAAAGTGACTCCTCCTTCAATATGGGCAGTGAAATTTCAAGAATTTGAGAGCCTTAATTTCAATCAAAGTCCTCCCAAGTCATCAGAAGAGAAACATTTAATGTCTCAGGTAAGTATATAATAAACTAGAATTCAAGAAAAATCTTTCTATTGTATTCTCTTTGAAATTCATTTGCACAATCTAAATGTCCCTCAGTCTATTAGTGGATCCTGTACATTTCTTACATTTACACTGGAATTCTACTTTGTGGTAAAGGAAAAGGAAATCAAATCATTTGTAGGTCAATGGATGGAAGTAGACATGGCTATACTAAGTGAGCCTCAGGTGTTCTCCCAGGTAAAGAAGTTGAAACGCAAGCACTACATGATTTGTCATCAGAGAAGTAGAAAAAGAAGAGATAGATATAGATAGTGAGGGTACAATAGGAGTTTACAGTGAATAGGGAGGATGTGTGGTAAATAACAGAAACAGTGTCATGGCTTCATGGCTTAACTAAGTTCTTCTGTTCTATGCAACAACAAGGTAAGTAAAATAATCCAAGTTGCATTTTGTATATTAAAATTGTTAAAAAATATAAATTTGGTTATACTCACCATAGGAGAGGATAAAATTTTACATATGGCTACATTAAAGACTGACTAGATCAATGTCCAGTGTGTGTGTGTGTGTGTGTGTGTGTGTGTGTGTGTATATAACAAAATATAAATGATATGTCATA